CATCCTGGGGCTGCCGGGCAGACCCCAGCCCAAGGCCTCTGCCGGGGGCAAGCTGCCCTCCTCCGCCCCGCTCTTCATGCTGGACCTTTACCACGCCATGGCCCGGGAGGAGGAGGAGGACGATCCGTCTCCCGGCCCGTGCTGACCAGTCTGAGCGTCCAGACGCCTCCCTTGGGAAGGGTCATCAACGGGGCGGACACGGTGATGAGCTTCGTCAACGTGGGTAAGTGGCGAGAGGAGGCCCCGGTTTCTGGGGCCACCAGGAGGGGCCTTGGAGTGGGCCTCTTTCTGGGCCAGGCACCACTCCACAGACCCAGAGGGGCCCGAGCAGCCCGTCTCCAGCTGTATCCAGAGCTGGGCACAGCTGCCTCCTTCCCCCAGGCACTGCCCCTTTGACTCTGGGGTCAGGGCATAAAACACTCGGGGGCTGGAGAATCCCCCAGGCTGCTCCCACTACCTTGAAATTAGAGACCTGGCCTGGCCCATGGGCCTTGCTCTCTGCCCTCTTCCCCCAGCGTCTCACTTCCCTGGGTTTCACATGTTCAGTGATTCCCCTCCCCCTGGAATCATTAACAAGTCTTGGGGTCTCTGTGTTGGGCCTGGCTCCAGCCCTGGGTCTGGGGGCTTGGCCCGCACTGGTTGCTTTTTTTCTGCGCTTCGGGTCTGGGGCAGGGATGTTACCCTGCGGGTGTCCAACCAATCGAGCGAGTGGTCGATAGAATTTGAGTCAACAGGCCGCCCAGCTCATGCCGGGAGCGGGACCAAACCCGCTGCGGCTCTGCAATTTATAAGGTGGTAGGAGCTGGGCAGCCCCCCTGGCTCCTACCGCGTCTGTGAAGCCGCTGGATGTTTGTGAACTCAAAGATGATGTAATATGGAGATGTCAGATCTGTCCTCAGACCGTTGCCTGGGCTGTTGCCTGCTTCCCGTCTTACGTGACTATGCACGAACATATGGCCTAGTGCAAGGGTGGGCAAATACCAGCCCGTGATTTGCCAGGGTTCGCTCCTGGGAGGCCACCACCGCGATAGTTACCTGCACTCCACAGGTACAGGCACTTCCAGCGCCTGTTGGCTACAGCTCGTCATTCCTGGCCACCAGGAGCTGCAAACGCCTGTATCTGCGAAGGTGCAGGTAAATATAATAGCAGTGCACTAGGGCTAACCCTGGGGAACCATCCCCATTTTATTGATCACCTTGGGCCTAGTGGCTGGAGCACTGGACTGGAAAGATGTGTCTTCCCTGCTCTTCACTGGCCAGCTGGGTGACCTTAGGCAAGTCACTGCCCGACTCTGTGCCTCAGTTTCCCCATCTGTGAAATGGGATCAGTGATTTCCAGGAAACTTGGAAATGGCAGCAGTGCTTAACGACTTCTTTGTTTCAGTGTTTGTGGAATGCCAGTGGGAAGGGGGTAGGGTTAGAAATTAAAATACAAAAGGAAGACAAGTTAAAAATTACTCAGAAAAGTTAGATGTCTGCAAGTCACCAGGGCCTGATGAAATGCATTCTAGACTACACAAGGGGCTGATAGAGGAGGTATCTGCGCCTTTAGCTATCTTTGAAAAGTCATGGAAGTCGGGAGAGATTCCAGAAGGCTGGAAAAGGGCAAACATAATGCCCATCGATAAACAGGGAAATAAGAACAATCCAGGAAACTACAGACCAGTCAGTTTAACTTCTGTGCCACGGAAGATAATGGAGGAAGTAATTAAGGAAATCATCTGCAAACATCTGGAAGAAATTAAGATGACAGGTAACAGCCAGCATAGATTTGTAAAGAACAAATCATGTCAAACTAATCTGCTAGGTTTCTTTGATAGGATAACAAGCCTAGTGGATAAGGGAGACATGGCGGGCAAGGTTTACCTAGACTTTAGTGAAGTATTTGATACAGTCTCGTATGACCTTACTAATAAATTAGGGAAAAAATCTAGATGGGGCTACTGTAAGATTGGTTGTCCAGCCAGTTATGTACCCTTCTCAGAGAGTAGTTATTAATGGTTCACAATCCTGCTGGAAGGGCATAACAAGTGGGGTTCCACAGGGGTCTGTTTTGGGACCGGTTCTGTTCAATGTCTTCATCAATGATTTAGATATTGGCATAGAGAGGACGCTTATAAAGTCTGCAGATGATGCCAAATGATTAGGGGGCTGGAGCATATGACTTATGAGGAGAGGCTGAGGGACTTGGGTCTGTTTAGTCTGCAGAAGAGAAGAGCGAGGGGGGATTTGAGAGCAGCCTTCAACTTCCTGAAGGGAGGTTCCAAAGAGGATGGAGAGAGGCTGTTCTCAGTAGTGACAGATGGCAGAACAAGGAGCAATGGTCTCAAGTTGTGGTGGGAGAGGTCCAGGTTGGATATTAGGAAAAACTATTTCACTAGGAGGGTGGTGAAGCACTGGAATGGGTTATCTAGGGAAGTAGCGGAGTCTCCATCCCTAGAGGTGTTTAAGTCTCGGCTTGACAAAGCCCTGGCCAGGTTGATTTAGTTGGAATTGGTCCTGCCTAGAGCAGGGGGCTGGACTTGATGACCTTCTGAGGTCTCTTCCAGTTCTATGATTCTATGCCAAGCTGGAGGGGTTGCAAGTGTTTTGGAGGATAGGGTCAAAATTCAAAATGATCTGGACAAACTGGTGAAATGGTCTGAGGTAAATAGGATGAAGCTTAATAAGGACAAATGCAAAGTACAATCCATGTCTCACATACAGAATGGGAAGCGACTGTCTAGGAAGGAGTCCTGTAGAAAGGGATCTAGGGGTAGTAGTGGACCACAAGCTAAATAGGAACCATTTAAGGAAAATATTCTGACAATGACTCAATTTGTCAGTGGAGTAATGTGCAAAAGGATCTCATGAGGTATCAGCATTGGAGATGTTAAGAGATGCCAGGCTTGAAAGTATTATTTTTTAACTAATTTTTACATGCAATAGAAATGTCTATTGTTAGGCCTTTTTTTCTGTTTTCATCCATTTGAGTTTTCACAGTTGGGCATAGGCAGGAATTTTAAGCATTTTTTTAATATGTATTTGTTTAAGTTTTCACAGTTGCAGTAAATTGGGCCAAAGGGGTCAAACAAATTATCTAATGACTGCAGATGTCGTGACTCAAAAAATGAAAAGTATTATAAACCATTCATACTCAAAAACAAAGTAAAAACCCTTTAATCAAACTGTAATAAAGTTCTCAGGCAGCATTTTTCTTAATTCATTCATGTATACATTTCAGTTATCAATGGAAACAGTTTTCTTCCATTGGTTTGTGTGTATACAAGGGGGAGGGGGGAATATCAACATTTACCAATAAAAATCTAACTCTTCCAAGCCTAGTGATAGACAAGATAATACACTGCAGGACTCAACTCTACAGCATATATGCCCAATTCCCATTGAAATGTGTAAGGGCTACAAGATTGTACACTATGTTAGACGGTGGAACTCCTTGCCACAGTAAATCAGTGAACTTAACAAAACCAAACTGGACCTTTTATCTGAATAACGGAAAGATCCAGCGTTATTGTAATTAATTGAAACACGTTTTGTGGGAGAGGTATTAACCCTAATGTATCAGGACGTGAGCTCATCCTCTCACAGATCAAATCAGACGTAATGTGTGGGGAATATTGCCCCACATCGGACCACTGCCTTGGACCCTTCTCTGAATCAGTTGGCTTAGATGGATGTTGGGTCTGATCCAATCTGGCAATTCCTGTGGCCCTAAAACTTTATTCTCCGTGCCCCCTGGGAAACAAAACAATAACTTAGTAGATTTACTTGCCATGACACTGGTATGTGACCTACAGCTAATTGAAACTTACTAGAACCCCCGAAGTTACCTCTGGCCAGTTCCAGGACTACTGTGGGTCTATCCCAGACATGCAGGAGGTGAATGGTGATTGGGCGGCATCACCAAAGCCAGCCCCAGGTAACCCGGCTAAACCTGCGAGGTGATGGGGTGACGTTGTTCCGACAGGGTTACCTGTTCGCCGTCCATAACACTGGCAGGGCTGCCACTGTTTGTGTTTAGGGTACGACAGTCATTTGGATCCATACGACTGCGGCTAGCGTGGGATGTTCTACAGGTTGAAGCTCTCTGTTGCTGGACCAGAGAGCCCCGGCATCTAGGAGCAAGCGCCGGCTGGGAATCCAGGAACAGAGGGGCTAGCAGCCTGGAGCCCAGCTGGAGTCAGCTTGAGGGCAGGGAGCCCAGCCAGGGCTGGCAGCGGAGCCTGATGGCTGGGGCTGAAAGTAGGGTCAGCGGCTGTCAGGGGAGCCCAGTTGGGAGGCTGGTGGCTCCCATGGAGGGCCCAGAAGCCGACAGCAGAGGGGCCAAAACCTGGTGCAGCAAACTCCCTGGATTGGGGCTGGCCTGGTCATGAGGGTGCCGGACCAGGGAGGGTGCCGGACCAGGGAGATCCAACCTGTGCATCCTTGTGACAACCGTACATTGTGTTACTTATGCACAGGGCCCTGCCAAATTCACAGCCGTGCCAAACGTGCCGTGAACCGTCTACTCTGGCCTTCTGCGGGCTTTTACCCTCGACCGAGTTTGGGGGGAGACCAGCCTTTCTCAACCGGGGGTCCTGGCCCCAGAGGGAGTTGCAGGGGATCACAAGGGTGTCTTAGGCAGTACTGCCACCCTTACCTCTGCGCTGCCTGCAGAGCTGGGCGGCTGGAGAGCAGGGCTGGGAATACTGGCCCGGTGCCCAGCTCTGCCGGCAGCAGTGCAGGAGCAAATGTGGCAACACCATCCCATCCCATCTTCCTGCTTCAGAGCCGGGCTCCCAGCCAGCAGCTGCTGCTCTCCAGCCGCCCAGCTCTGAAGGCAAGGCAGAAATAAGGATAGCAGTGCCACACCCCCTACAATAACCTTGCAACCCGCCCACCACCACCACTCTTCTGTGGGTCAGGATCTCTGCAATTGCAACACCATGAAATATCCCAGCGACGTGTCTGAAATCATGACACTTACCCTTTGTAAAATCCTCGGACTGTGGAATTGACCTACATGGACCAGGAATTTGGTAGGGCCCTACTTATGCACGGCCACTATGCATTTAACCTCACATCCTGTGCTGCTCTGTGCACCAGACCTTCACCAGGGACAGAAACCTCCCTACTAAATTTAACTTCAACCTAAACCCCGCAGACCAAACCTCGCTACTAATTGAAACCTCACCCCTTTATTGTGGAGCTGCAAAGCGAGCTGGCTATTTATAGCTATTCTAC